TTTTTTTTTTTTTTTTTAAAGAGAGTGCATGAGTGGAGGGGAGGGGCAGACGCAGGGCAGAGAGATAAAGACTCTCAAGCAGACTCCCCGCTGAGCACAGAGCCGATCCCACGACCCTGAGCTGAAATCCAGGGTCAGATGCTTAACTGACTGAGCCACCCAGGCACCCTGACAGATGTTTTTTTTTTTTTAGAGAAAGAAACAAAAGATAAATTCCTATGCTTCATATGGATCCCTAAAGGTCTTTGTCCTAATTCTTAAATACATCTTACACACAAAGGGAAAACCCGTGTTACTCTGTGATCCTCGTATCTATCGAGATCAGTTTTTTGTCGAGATAGGGGTGGTCAATACCTTGGATAATGGAACATCACCAACAGAATCCAGTTCCTTGGTCTATGCTGTAAAACTAGATTCAGTATTTTTAAAAGTGACTTAACTAATGTGCCGCTGTAGCACTTAGAGCAGTATACAGCAGGCGCTCAAGAAAAAGGTGCTGAAAGAGATTCTGCCATAATTTGCCCTTATTTATGCTTCTAGTGCCTGGAAAAGCACACTTGCTTTTAATACCTATCTGTGTTGCCTATTTTAAACAATTTTTTTTTAAAGATTACTTATCTATTTATTTGAGAGAGAGAGAGAGCGAGCGCGTGCACAAGCAGGGGGAGTGGGAGAGGGAGAAGCAGGCTTCCCGCGGAGCAGGGAGCCTGATGCGGGGCTCGATCCCAGGACTCTGGGATCATGACTTGAGCTGAAGGCAGACGCTTAACCGACTGAGCCACCCAGGCGCCCCTCTATTTTAAACAATTTCTATTTTAAATTCGACTGACCACTTTAGGAACAGGACTGCCTGGAATACTGATGTTATTAGATTAGAAAGTACGTGTATTCAGAAAGTAGTAGAGACAATTCTACAATTTCAGCTTTTCCGAGACCGTAAGAATCCTCAAATTAAATTATTCTTTTTGGCCATTAAAGAAACACTGCAGGTCCTAACCAGAGTCGAGTTTGTCTAAGTTCAGGTAAAACATTGTAATTAACCCTAACTTCATAGATCCTACGAACCTCTGCACACCATCATTAGATTAACTAAATCTTGCTTTGACGCACGCACCATGCACACCTCCCCATGGCCAGAACGGGCATGCTGATCTATGATGATCCGGAGGACTCAAAGGCATTCCAAAAAGGGGAAAAGAAAAAAAAAAAAAAAAAACAACAAAAAAAACAAAAAGGGGAAAAGAACAGTGCGCCGGAGAGATAAAACTCCAACAATTGTCAATCTCACACCCTGCATTCGCCTGGAGACATGGCTACCCTCACGCACTGAGTCCATCACAGAGCTCCCCCCCGACCCCCGTCCATCCACGCGAACGACCGCGTGCACACAACTCACCCTCACTGCCACTAGCGATGAAGTCTTCATTATGGCCTCCGAAACATGAATGAATCGTATAAAACCCTTGTGTGACACCTTGATACTTTCTTACTAAAACTCTGTCTTGCAAGTCCCATAAATGAACTCCCTGTAGGCGAAAGAAAATAGATGTATTTATTCTCCCTCAAAAGAATTTTAAAAAGTAATTTGTGAATATTCCTTTGCCTGATGGAACATTTTCAATTCCTATTTACCCAAAATGGCAATGTTCTGATAAATTAATGGTTGACTCTACAAACCTAAGGACCAAACACATACAGTAAAATTAAAAAATTTGTGAAAATAATTATTTCTATATGTATACACCAAAAATCATACTAAATTTTGAACTAAGCTAAATCTTTATAATTATAATAAACTTACCTGAGTTGCTACATTTAACAAAGCTAATCGGCCATTCTTGGAAATAGTAAAAGACATAATGGGATGATCTTCTTGTACTCTGTAACCAGAAAATAATCTGTTAAAAGCAACATACTAAGACTCAAGAACAAATTATCAAAATATAAAATGTACTAGCTTAAGCACTGCAATTTTGTCTATAATCAGTATGAGAGACTGTATTTCAATTAAGGAAAAAAACGTGAGTTAATGGTTACGAAGCACCACCTGACCACCAATCTACTTTTTTTTTTTTTTTTTAAAGATTTTACTTATTTATTTGACACAGAGAGAGAGATCACAAGTAGGCAGGCAGGCAGGCAGAGGGAGAAGCAGGCTCCCCCTGAGCACGGAGCCCGATGCGGGACTTGATCCCAGGACTCTGGGATCATGACCTGAGCTGAAGGCAGACTCTTAACCGACTGAGCCACCCAGGTGCCCCCCACCAATCCATTTTAAGGTCAAACCCAAACCAAAACATAAAAACTCTTCTCAAATAGCGAGTTCCACCACACATTTTAAATAAAGTAATTATTTAAAGGATAAAAAAATAGTTACATGTTCCTATCTGTAAGGTCCTCGAAGTTGTACCCCCGGATGCGCTGGTGTGTGTCTGATGCCAGAACAGTCTTGCCGTCGCTCAAGCACCAAAGGCATTGCACTCTCACCCCTTCCCAGGAGTCAAGGAGGTTCCCATCTAAATCCTGGGGAGAAATTCACTGTGAACCCCATTATGAAACAGCGCTTGGGAAGCAAAGAACCAAAAGAATCTCTTAGCAGTATCTTTTTGTAATAAGTTTGTTTTTTCCTGCTCGACTTAATTGTTCCATAAGTGGTTTTCATCACGAAAATGTGAATATAGGTCAAATTTCATTACAACAATACCTCAGGGGGAGGGGGAGAGAATCTCTGTAAAATCGGTCTTCCCGTCAATAAGCAGCCAGGCACAGATAATGACAAAACACACAAAGAAAGAATTCCTAAGTTCTAAGTGAGGGTCTCCCTACTACTGGGAAAGAATTCAAATATTCCTTTAAAATGCGCTATACTGGGACCTGTCCTATACTATTCTGAAGCTGGGATATGGAAAAGATTACTAAAACATTACTTATAGCTTTACACAACTCAGAAACTGTTAGGGCATTTTAAAAACCATCACCAAATTTGTAATGTGTTCTACAGATCAAAGCTCTAAGGATCATTATCTTGTTGAATATGTAAAGTTCTGAGAGGCATCCCATGTCCATTCCACAGATGGGGGAGCTGCCAAGTCCTGGACCCTGAAGGTGTCAACACTATAGGGGACAGTGGGGTCAGCAGAGACACACATGGGTCATCTTGCAGCCAGGGAGTCAAGAACAAACGGTTTTGTGGCTGGAAGTACAGCATGGAGACCAGCTGGACTGCATATCTGAAAGTTGCTGAGAGAGTAAATCTTAAAAGTCCTCATCACAACTGTGTACGGGAACAGCTAATTACTGTGGTTGTAATTTTCAATGCACACGGATATCAAAACGTTATGTTGTATACCTGACGCTAACATAATGTTATAGGTCAACTATACATACTCTGTTGAAATAAAGGGAAAATAAGTAAAAAATCCAAGTAGTGTATTAGCTCATGGATAGAAACTCCAGAAATAACTTTTTAAACTACTGGGAAAATCACAGGTAGATCAGTAAGGTGTGCTGAGATGACTGGGGGAAGGAAAGAACTTGTGGCTCATAACCATGCTTTGGGGACAGGACACGAGGTTCCATGAGTCCCACGGCCGGCTTACCAACAAGACACCTGTGGTCTGTACTGGGCACACAGAGGTCTCTATGACCGGTGACCTTCAGCTACATTGAATGATTTACGGGATTCATGATCTTGTTTAATTGTAATCCTAAGACCACACGTGGAAGTGCCCACTGGCAGCAAGCCGGGCCGTGACACGAGACACGGATGTTCAAGGCAGAGTCTACCTTGTCACGAGATTGGTCACCTATTCCTTATTGTCATCATCCCACCAACCCGAGATTAATGGGGCAGATACTTCAAATAAAGAGTGGAAGGTTCTCTGGTAGTGCTCATCAGCACTTTTAGTCCTCACATATTTAAGACGGTCAACTCATGAAATTCAGCACAGCTGGGATACAAATCCTAAAGCCTCAAAAGAAAGTACTATTTTCAATCCTATACATTAGAAACTTGTTTATGAGAATAAAATATTTAGTAAAATAATTTAATGTTTTACTAAACTCAAAGTCTAGGCTTGGTATAAACATTTTAAAATGGTTAAAAAAGAAAAAAACCACAGAAAGTTCTATTGGATGGTGCTTATTTAGAAAGATAGCTAAGTAGGTCTTCACAGAATATATTTCATAAAAGAATTCTTTATTTCCACAAAAGGAGCGGGCAGTGAACGGGGGCAGGAGGTACTCACACACTGGTAGAACTGGCCGCGCTGACCTCCAGTTACGAAGCGCTTCCCATCCGGATTCCAAGCCACACTCGTCAAACTGTCCTCATGAGACTGGCTCATTTTTGTCCTTAGCTCTCCCGTCTACAAAGAAATAAAACTGTGGCTAACACCTTCAAGATAGGCTTCTAAAGGGAATGTATAAAGAAAAAAAAGTAGTAACTTGGGTATCAGGTTAGTTTGGTATTCCTAATTAGAGAAATGAACTGTTCTAACTGGCCTTACAAAAAACCAACCAACCAACCAACAAGACTGCAGCGCTCCGGAGAGGAATGAAGAACTAGAAGAACCGGGAGCTGAACAACACAGCACAGATGACCCCAACAATAGGTCTGATGAGATAAACTCTTAATAAAACTCTCATCTTCAATGACGTTTATAAATGAAATCATATTTTCCCCAAGTAAAAGGAGGAGAAGCTCAGTGCTACAGGTACTACTCCCTTGAGTTCCCATTTCTCCTCAGTCCATAGTTCTTGGCAAATTTTATTCTAAAACCGTCAAAACTGCAGTTAGCAGTTCCTCAAGAACATGATTAATGGACAGAAAGAGTAGGGCCCCTGAACTAAGGTAAGGGTGCAGCAGTTCTCAATTATGTGAAATTTCCTATTTGAGATGCTAAAAATGTAGTAAGGAAGATGGAAGAGAGAAATGAAAACTATTTTTCTAGTATCTAATTTTCTCTCAACTGAAAGTACAGGAAAGAGGGACTTTTGTACTGTTTAGCATAGCCATTTTACAGGATTCCCAAGTCAGAAAGACTATTTACTGGTTATGACCCTAAGCTATCCTCCTGTTATTTTTTTCTAAGTTATTGAACTTAGAAGGTAGACACATACCATTTAATCTAGTCTTGATTCCATTTTGTTCATGGATTAGAAACAGGCTCTGAGAGATAACAGCTGCCCTTGGTATAATAAAAAGTACATGGGCATAATTTTCCTGTGAGAAATGGGTAATCAAAAGCAGGAAAAAAAAAAAGTGAAAACAAAAGTGTATGATCAGGGAACAGGGCCAAGTACTAAAAGCAAAGAGGGCACAAAAATAGAAAGCCAGAGGTCTCCCTTTATACTGGAAAAAAAATCAGCAATTTTAAAACCTTCCCCCATACTGCTAATAGGTCTCGCTGATTTATCTTTTTTGGGTTGCCAAACAGTTAAAAGTTCAGAATCCCAAGTACACATGCAGTGGCTGAATCCTCTGCATGTTGTGCTCACACAAGTTCATACACTAAGTGCTGAGGCAGATCTTTTCTTCTGCTGCGCAGAGGACGGTGGGTGTATGAGGGAGTCTATCATTAGGAAACTACCTCACAATATAAGGAACAATGTGCAAACTGACTAAAAACCAAGTCTGTAAGGTAATGCACAAATAGTTCAGCCACAACACCCTCTAACTGTCCAGAAACTCAGAATTGACACAAAGGAAGACTACAGCCACCATCAATTCCCAGTCCACTACTGGACGATTAGGACTCCATACGTCTTCTCTTTGAGGGGAAAAAAAACCCCAAAAAAACCCATTTTGTCTTTTAGGTCAGATTCATTCCAGTCTATTCTAGTGCGAGAAAGCCGTCTCTTCTCTTCTGGGCTTTGCCGCCCCACCCCCCGCCGCCCCACCCCCCCGCACCCAATCACAAACACCAATGACACACTGGTTTGATGAAAATGGCCTAAAGACATCTGGGGAGCAACTGGGAATTTTAGTTATGACACGAACATTAGATATTAGAGAATGATAGCTAACGTTCCTGAATAAGATGAGGACGTGTTATATGAGGGAATGTTACTTTCTAGAAGATACATGCTTAAGTATTTGGTATAAAACATCGCATCTGTAATTTCCTTCCAAATGTTTTGGACGTGGATGTCTGTGTACGCACGTCTACATGTGTGCATGCGTGTGTCCACATAAAATATACAGAATGTTCATCGCTGCATCCGAGGTGGTGGGCAAGGGTCACCAATGTACTCCTCCACTTTCCTTAGTATTTGACAACTCTCCTAATGAAAAGCTGGGGTTGAAACATAAGTAGTAAGTGGGCGTAAGAAGACCCTACTGTGTGACAGCAGGGCAGGGATTATGGCGTATCGCCCTCAGGTGTGTCTCAGTATTCGCTCTGCCCTCTGCACACTTGTGCAGTTTTAGCTCCACTCTCTCAGTAAAAACCGACTCATGTACGGGTCCCCGAACTCACAGTCCTAGCCCTTCAGCGCACACTGGTATACTCAGGCCACAGCCGCGACCATAACCTCGCCTCGGGGCAGAAAAATGAAAAGAACAGCATCTAACCAGCCTTCTTTTCTTACGGAAGGAAGTTAAAAAAAAATTTTAAATTGGAACTATAAGGTCTCCAAAATAGTACAAAAATAATGGAACTTAATGCAAATTTTTGTAAAAAGAAAAAAAAAAGGGACCCTGGATAAAGGTCAAGTTTTGGTTTAGAAACAGTAACAGAGTCCTTATTAAAGTACTGAGACATTACTTTTCCTAAACTAGATCAGCGTATTAAACACAGTAAGGAGAGGATGATATGACCGCCACCAGAACGAGAGATCTCGTTCCCTGCAGATGTTTGCAGACTTGAAAGGTTAAGTTTCACGTACAATCATCAAACTGTGAAACCACCATAAAATCTTCTCGGAGATAAAAGTGCCACGGTAAATAGTATGAATTCTGCAGTACAAAGCACAACATTACTGAAAATACTCTTTTGTCCTTCTTTTAAATACTCTATTGTGCTCAGCCTGATAGTTAAGTTGCTAAGCGTGGACACCTGGGCTCCATTCGCTGAATTCTCTTTTATGAGGGACACACTCTGGTCACTGTGGCTGAGTGGCTGTGTTCTGGCGAGAATCAAGCTATACGGAGTGCGTGCAGGACGGCCACGCTGTACTGAAAGGCTCAAGCAAGGACGAACGTGCTCACCTGTACATTCCAAAGCCAGAGCTCAGAGCAGTCGTCTGGGCCACAAGCAACAAGGTAGCTGTCGTCCGGACTCCACGCGATGTAGGAGACGCCGTAAGCATGTCCTTCTAAGGTTTTAAGCAGTTTTAGCAGGTGTGTATCCTAGGAGGGAAAGAGACCACTTGGTTAGAGTCCTCAAAGTCCATGGTTTTCTGGCATCAGAACTGAAATAGCTGCGAGGATATACGTTGATGATGTAATGAAATCTGAGGTTTTCACAGATTTCACCAATTTCCACCTGACCTGAAGCCCCAACAGTGTGCTTCATAAAGCCTCGCTCACACTGCAACACCTAGTAGGCACCTACTCCACACCAGGCCCGGTGTGCCGGATGTGACGTAAAGACAACACAGGCTTCGTGCCTGTGAGGCTTCTCAGGAAACTGAAAGCAGGGGTACCAAGAGTGACCTCTTACTTATTTTTGAAAACAGCCTAACTTACGCACCATAAAGTTCACCCTTCAAAGTGTGCAATCCCGTGACCTTGAGTGTTCTTTGCCCCACAAAGAAAGCCCACACTGGTTAGCAGTGACTTCACAACCCCCACACCCCTTCCTCCATGGATTCGCCTATTCCGGACATTTCACACACGGCATCCTACCCCAGGGGGGTGTTCTGTAACTGCCTTCTCTAGCTCAGTGGAATGTTGCCGGGCTTCACCCGCTCTAGCGTGTGTATCTTACTCCTTTTTGTTGGTTGACAGTCCGTTTTATGGAAATACCCTATTTTGTTCATCCACTCAGCAGCCAGTGAACGTCTGGCCTGTCTCCAGCTAGGACTACAGACAAGTTTTTGCGCAGATCTGTGTTTCTGCTTCCTTTGGGGACACACGCTGGAGCGGAGCTGCCAACTCTAGGTCTCCTGAGCGTCCGCACCATGCCCCCTTCTCACCAGCAGCACTGCGGCTTCGTGCTCCTCAGTAAGAGCACCGGTCGCCAACAGTACCTCAGCCCAGTCTCATAACCTGAAGGTCAAGTGTTCCTCCCCCGCCCCACATGACAGGGAAGGAGACGGAGTCTGCCATGGTGAGAGGCAGCGAGGGCTGCGCCTGGGCTGCTGGCCTCTCACGAAAGTGGACACCTTTGCTTGAGGCTAAGGGGTGCAATTTTACCCTGTGAGTGGTGAGCTGCTCAAGATTTTTAAGCTGGTGAGTACATAACAGAGTATTTGGTTTTAGGAGGAGAACTTGCACGACAATGTGGAAGATGAATCAGAATGAACAGACGGGGGGACACGGACACCCCTAAAGAGCCAAAAAGAGCCATTAGAGTTAAGACAAGAAACGAGGTCCAAAACTAACACGGTCTGCGCTGACAGACGTCAGATCAGAATGTACTTGGAACATAAAGTACGTATGACAGGAGGAGACAAGAAATGTCCAAAGACAACCTGCAGGTTTCTGTATGGGGTAAGGACGGATGTGCACAGGAAACAGAGCAAGAGGGATTTGGCTGCAGGTGGCAAAAAGTGATGAGTTAAGTGTTAGACTTTGGTCAAAGAATGACTGAGACCAGTACCGGGCCTGTGGAATTCTACTGGCGAGGACTCGGAAGCAATTAAAAATGGGTCTGGAGGGGCGCCTGGGTGGTTCAGTCAGTTGGGCATCTGACTTTGGCTCAGGTGGTGATCCTGGGGTCCTGGGATGGAGCCCCGAGTTGGGCTCTGTGCTGAGACGGGAGTTTGCTTCTCCCCGCCCCTGCCCCACTCGTGCTCTCTTTCTTCCTCAAATAAATAAAATCTTAAAAAAAAAAGAGAGAGAGAGAGAAATGGGTCTGGAACTCCTCTGATAAAACTAGATTGGGAATTTTTTTTTTTGCCAGAAATGTCAATGACAAATGGATATGGTACCTCGTTTCTTCACCGGACCTTACGTTTATCATTTATTCCATTACTTAGCCCATCTGCCATGTCTGACAAAAACTAGCTACCACTACCACTACTTCTGGGTCGTCCCTGGGAGAAGGCTAACAGGTGGGGCTGTTCGTGCCAGAGCATGGCACCGATGGCCACAGACCGGCGTAACTTAACAGGCCGTTCGGGCTTTTGGATGGGCGCAATCACAGTGGTGCTTTGGATCCACACAAACAGTTTCTTCTAAACTGAATATAAACTACTTCAGAAGTATTTAACTAAAACACTAATTGTTTCAGCACATTAATATAATCCTGTAAAAAAATAAAATTGAAAATAAATGGGGATATGAATGCTAGATCTTTACAAGTAGTGTCTCTACCCTAACCTAGCTCAAGTGGAAATACCATGTTCATGGAATCCACTCAACTGTGCTCAGATTTTGGGTTGGGAATGGGTAAAAATGTTTTTTTGGGGGCAAAGGTAAGAAAACCTGTTAAAAGAAACCAGGCATTGGGATCACATCACATTAGGTGTGGAGCCTAACGCGGGGCTCCATCTCACGACCCTGAGATCTGACCTGAGCCGAAGTCAAGAGTCAGATGCTTAACCAACTGAGCCACCAGGTGTGTCAATCACCTCAAATCTTAAGGTCCTTCTCCACGTATTCTGTTTTCTATCCATTAAAAAATATACACACAAAACACATACTCAAAAATATCCCCAATTTTAAGTTTTTCAAATAGTATTTGACATAATAAAATGCTATCATACTATACTCTAAAGTCCATGGCATCTCAGACTGGAATGAAAGCATTAACCCTGCGTTTCCCAAGCTAATCTGGCCACAAAAGCCCTTTACACGTAACACCTATTCTGACAAAAGCACTCTGGTCTAAACTCCTTAGCCAAGTATACAAGATCCTCTCCTTGACTGGCGGCTACCAACTCCACTAACCTCACCTCCCACTCTGCAGTGTAACCTCTTCTCTGGGACTGCCCAAACCCCAGCCACCTTTTCCTTTTCCATGTGTCCTGCAGGGGCCAGTAGAAACTGGTTTTGCCTCGATAACGGTTCACTCCTTCTTCTGCTAGGACTCACTTGTCCTACTTTCCAGTTCCAGGGGGGTTTCTCCTTTGAGCCCCTGTGGCACCCACCACGGAACAATTACATGGTACTATCATGAGCTCATGGTGAGGCTGCAAATAAGCTCAATAAATGTGTGCTAAATGAAGGGCACCGTTACATACTGCTGCCAAAAGGAATCGTAATAAAGCATAGTTTTTTTTTTTTTTTAAAGATATTAACTATTTGACAGAGAGAGATCGAGAGCACAAGCAGGGGGAGCAGCAGAGGGAGAGGAGAAGCAGGCTCCCCACCGAGCAGGAAGCACGATGCAGGACTCAATCCCAGGACCCCGGGATCATGACCTGAGCCGAAGGCAGATGCTTAACCATCTGAGCCACCCAGGCGCCCTGCCCCGGATTCTTTTTTTTAAAAAATATTTCCTTCTGTGGTCCGTTTTCTCTATTTTTTTTTGATGTAAAAGTCCACAACTTTATTTGGGACTAATATCATATTCTATTTCTAAATTTTAAAGTAAGATTATTTAGTTATGATTTAAACCAAACATTTCTCCTTAACCTATGTAGAGGCATGTATTTCTTTTGATAGGTCAATAAATGTTCCATTGGCCAAAAGAAACAAATACTTATTTCTACAAATCTCTAAGTCATCTTGTTATAAACAAAGACAAAAATCTGATTTTAGAGAGAACTCAGAATTTTACATCCAGAATACAGTACTTTTTGTACGTAAGGTGGAGGGAGTGTTTAACAGAAGTTCCACAAATCACACAAGACAATGAAAGATTTCAGAAGGCAAAATGGTAATGAGTCTTTCCTAACTTGTGACAGAATGGTAAACTGAATATTAACAAAGATAAAACGGGCAAGGGGCATGAAGAGTAGCAGGTCTGGAGTACTATTCCCGGATTTGAGTCTTAACTCTGCCACTTACTAGCTCTGAGAGCCTGGGCACTTAATGTCTACCTCAGTTTCCTGATCTGAAAACAAGAGATGTGAGTGTCCCACAGAGTTATTCTGAGGAATAAACCAGCACACACTCTATATATCTACATATACCATCTAGAAAACACAGGAGGAGGTAAAACATGACAAAAATGACAGAGAAATGCTCTTAGGAAAGAACACGTTTATATATGCACCCTTAAAACATATGTAATTAGATGACGAATTACCTTTTTGTAGTCTACACACACACACACACACACACACACACACACACAGTACATACCGGATCAACTTGCCATATGATAACTGTGGTATCTTTCGATCCTGTGGCTAGTTTAGTGCCGTCATTGGAGAATTTACAGAACCACACTTCATTACAATGCTCCGTAAGTATCTGCTGAGTATAACATGGGAACTGCCTCCTAAAACAAAGAAGTTCACACATAATTATTCTTCCAAAATAGAGTAATCTAATAATGAAAAAGGTGAAACAAGTGATAAAACTTCTTTGGATATAAAAACTTCAAAAATAAGATAGGAATGCCTTTGCAGATCTCAATCATGTTTACAGTGGTATGTTGAAAAAAGATTATTACAACATTAGTCAAGGCAATCTCTGGGGAAGTCAGTGATCTGAAGTCGACTTCAGGGTACCATTTATTCTTTTCCCCTTTCTCAAGATTAAACAAGAGTAAAAGTATGTGTCCATCATAGAATTTTTTGGTCTGATTAAGTCAATTCATATAAATAAAAATTAACAATCAGGATTTTGAGTTTGTGTAAGTTGGCTGGCATCATGAGGAATGTGCATTTTTATTTACATAAAAGGAACCTGATGTATCAACAAAAAGAGACGAGGCACCGCAGTCAGGCAAGCTTGGGTCACAAGCTTTCATGTCTCCGGCAAGTCATTTCACTCCTTTGAGCCTCACTCAGTTCCTTCATCTAGAAAAGGACATTAATATACACCTAACAGGGTTCTTCTCAGGACGAGAAAAACATCTATAATTCCTGGAACGCAATAGATACAAGTGATTACTGAGATATTTTGGGGACACCAGAGAAGGTGCAATAGAGGGAAGGGGCTGCAGTGGCTAAGAATAAAGCCTTAAGAACAGGGGCAGCAGAGTGAGGGAGACCAGGTTCAAGTCCTGGCTCAGCCGTTTTCTAGGTCATTTCCCAGAAACCGGTAAACTCGTTTAATCCAAGTCTCAAGTTTTCCAACCATAAACTAAAGACAACGGTAGCTGCCTTATGGAATTTTTTATACGAGGATGACATACAAGAATGAGATGATGAGGGTGCCTGGGTGGCTCAGTTGTTAAGTGTCCGCCTTCAGCTCAGGTCATGATCCCGGGGTCCTGGGATCGAGCCCCGCATCGGGCTCCCTGCTCAGCAGGAAGTCTGCTTCTCCCTCTTCCTCTGCCCCTCCCCCCTGCTCTCTCTGTCAAATAAATAAAATCTTAAAAAAAAAAAAAAGAATGAGATGATGAAGGTGGAGCATTCACATGGAGCCCAACACATGGCTGGCTGGCACTTCCTCAGTGGCAACTACTACTATAGATTAAGGGCAAAGAACTCTACGACTTCCGACTTTGAGAGGAAAGGTAATCACAAGAGTGACTGAGCCCAGGAAGCACTTTTCAAACCATGTGTAAACTGTCTAACCCAGAAGCCCTGGCCACGTGTGGCTGCTCAGCACTTGAAATGTGGCTAGGACACCTGAAGAACTGGACTTTTAAATGTAATTTTAGTTTCTTTACATTTAAATTTAAATGGCCACATGTAATCAGTGGCTACTTTTTGGGTAGTATACACTCTATTAGAGTCTCTGTAAGATTATAAAAGAGTTATTTAAACATTAGCGGATAAAATTTTCTTTTCTTTCTTTGGGGGGGAGGGGGTGAGGCAGAGAGAATCGCAAGCAGACTCTGCGCTGAGCGTGAAGCCCGACGTGGGGCTCGATCTCACGACCCCGGGATCATGACCTGAGCCAACACCAAGAATTAGAAGTTCAACTGACTGTGCCACCCAGGCACCCCATAAATGTTTCTCTTTTTAGCTGAAGTTCAGTTGACATGTAACAGTAAATGGGTTTCAGCTGTACAACGGTGACTACCACTATGTACACAGTGGTAGTCCACCAAAACATCCACCGCAAGTGTGTCACAATATCACTGACTAGATACCTACTCCTCATCCCCAGGACTTGATGAACTTTTAAGTCTGTCCTGAAAAATGGTCTTCCCTAGTTTTTTCCCCAACCAATCTATAATTTAAAAATGTATTTTATCAATTCACCAGCCCGATAATATATATATTTAAAACTAAATTAACATTCTTTATCTGGCACACACAGAATCTACCTTAGCACTTGGCTATTTGGAGGCTGCTTTAAATTTTCAGATTGTCTAAAAATTGCTTTAATTTAATTTTTAAAAGATTTTATTTATTTGACAGAGAAAGACACAGCGAGAGAGGGAACACAAGCAGGGGGAGTGGGAGAGGGAGAAACAGGCTTCCCGCTGAGCAGGGAGCCTGATGCAAGGCTCCATCCCAGGACCCTGGGGTCACAACCTGAGCCAAAGGCAGACACTTAACGACTGAGCCACCCAGGCGCCCCTAAAAATTGCTTTAATTTTAAATTATTATTCTGTATGTGAACTTAAACAGAATTGATACCAGCTGACATTTATTAAGCACTTACTAGATGCCGAGCACTGTGCTACATGTTTATAAAAAGTATTGCTAATTCTCAAAACTAACTTGCAAGGCAAGTAATATCTCCAACTTCATGAGGCTTGAAGAGGGCACGTAACTTAACAAATCATAAACTGGTAACTGAATTAGGTTTAAACATATGGCTGACTCTGCAACACCAGTTTTCTTTCAAATATCATTTTTTTTAAACTGCATTTTTCAAGACACTGTTAGATAAAATTCCAGTCAAATAAGTACTTCCAATATCAACAATGTTTCCCTGCCTCTTATAGGCAGTAATCAATAATGATGTCTTTTACGGAGAAACACTTAGGCACAAAATACACAATAATTCAAATGGGTAAAACGGATCATGAATGAAAAACAGATCTAAAATCAGAGTAGCAAAATGTCCTTAAGGAAGGACCATTTCATAATCAGAATTTAGGGCACAAATCATCTAGTCTACTGACAATCAGTTGTAACTGAAAGTCATTAAAGGGGTATTTAAATTAACATTATTTTTAGTATTAAGTCTTTGAAAAAGACTAACAGCCCTAGTTTATTAAAATCCTAATTTTAGATGTATACAAGTGAAAGCTGATGACTGTTTTCAAGTAAATTTGAAATTTAAGATGGTGTTAAAAATATCAGTACCTTCCCAAATAAAATTGAATAGTGTAATATTTTCATTAAACTGAATCCTAACATTTTAAGTTTCCATAAATATCTCCTAACAATCCTTTACTAAAAAATGAATACTTATAAAGTTACCTATGGAAACATCCTTCCACTGGTTGCTGGTGAAAAAAACTCCATAAATTTAACCAAATATATGTATACACTGTGAAAAATACAAATAATACACAATCTAATGAAAACCCTTCCGTGCTGATTAGGGTTTTAAAAAAAGTTACAGTTCACTTATTCATAATCAATTCTCTATTCTTCAGAGAGAAGAGAGAAAACTTGGTATTTAGATTTCAATGCTAAGAATTACTTTCGAAAACAGAGTTTTCTAGTTTCAATGCTAATCTAATTTCTACGAGGCAGTAAAGCAGATAATAAAACAGATCAACTTTTCTTTTGACGATCCCTAGATGAAAGGGGAATACTAGGAATTAAATCACGTTCAGGTTTTCTCTTCCTAGTTCAGCAACATCTGTAAAGACTGTGGACACTGGCTTCTTGCCCGACGCATCCCTCCTCAGTGTCTGACTCTGATGGGCTGCTTGGACAGGCTGGGGAGATGGCAGCCCCTCGCGGAGACTGGGAATTCAAGAGGAAAAGCAGACTCTGCGGGGACAGTGAGAGTGGAGGGGAGTTCTACTTCTGACAGGTTGCCTGAAAGGTACTCGAGCAACACACACAGGTATGAAGGTCGAAGGCTTAGGAGATCAATCCTGCGACTCTAGCCCAGACCTGGCCGCCATCAGAACCTAAAGGAGGGGGGTGGGAAGACAAAGAAATCTTCTGGAACACACCCTTATTAAAGGGACAGGGACAGGGGAGGAGCCTAAGGAGCAGCCAACAGTGAAACAGAGTCTGCAATGTTTTTGAAGTCAAAGGAACAGTTTCAAGGCAAACTAGTCAAATGCTATAGAAAGGTCTAGATGTAGGCTGGAGAGCAGTCACTGGATTTAATCAAGTTGTTCCTCACCGACACCAGCAACAGCTGTGGTGTTGTGTTGGCTGCAGAAATCTGAAGAGTGAAGGACACAGTACTGTGAATGCGCAGAAGGGTGTTACTTTAAGCAGCAACCTCTAAGGCAGGTGTGTGTGCGTGTGCGCGCACACGTGAGTGTAGCAGTGGTTAGGAGAAGCACAGAGTCAAAGTTTTGTTCTGTTTTTAAAAGACTATGGGGAAGGGGCGCCTGGGTGGCTCAGTCGGTTGAGCGACTGCCTTCGGCTCAGGTCATGATCCCAGGATCCTGGGATCGAGTCCCGCATCGGGCTCCCGGCTCGGCGGGGAGCCTGCTTCTCCCTCTGACCCTCCCCCCTCTCATGCTGTTTCTCTCTCGCTCGTTCTCTAA